GTCGTGTCCGTTAAAATCAACAATTTTTACATGAATTATATTTCATTCCATACTTTAAATGCCAGGACGCTTTCAATTAATGTCTAGTCTACCCATTTGCTATATTTTCTCGTTTGTTTTACTAATTTTTGACCAATTAATAAGCATGTTTTTGTTTTAGAAATTGATATTCAAATTCCCCGCCATATTTTCATAATTTGGTGCATGCGCAGACGTTTTTCCGCGGTGTTGATTAGAAGAGTTATGATCTCTGAATAGAAATATATATGAAGTGCACAAGGTTTCACCAGTGAGCTCTATATATCTGGAGCAGGAACTTTATTCATTCAGTCTATGAGAAACGTGATGCCAAGATGGCAGAAATTGGTCAACGTCCAATAGCTACGAAGGTCGTAAACAGTTTTAATACCATTTTTCCCCAGCTAAATAATATTCTTTAAATCGTCAAAATACCAAATTTTGGCACACTCCTCGCCAGCTTCGTGTTAACCGCGCAGAAAAAAAACAATAAAAAGGGACTGGAACTGACATTAATAGCTCATCAATTTTCGCCGCTTTTTAGACTCGAGTTCTCGCTCCAGATATATATGGAGCTCACTGGGTTTAATTACTGCCCGTATTCTAAAAGCTCACTCACACTCACATTCAATGAGTGGAGGTTCAATCTGAGCTTTTCTTGAGTGTCAATGCTATTTTTGAATAGCTGGAGGGTGAGTAGTCACATATTAAGGTACGACACTAACCCTTCAGTATTCAAAAACAGCAATGACACTCGAGAGAAGCTCAGATTGAACCTCCACTCATTGAGTGTGAGTGAGTTTTTAGAATACGGGCGTACGTGTCGGAGTGCTATTTAATTCCATTTTGACATCACTGAATGCATCATTGTAACGTAATATTTTTAAAGTGTGCCTAACCCCAAATATGATTTTTGGTATGGGTAATACTTGGGTTATTCTAAGAAGAAATGTAATATATCTTTATAGTAAAAACCCCATCTTGGTCAACTTTTTCACTGTCAAAGTTTCCGGATATGATGTCATTAGGTGAATTTTGGGTACAAAAAACAAAGGAAAACTAATTTGCAATTCACCTAATGACATCATACCCGCAAACTTTGACAGTGAAAGAGTTGATCAAAATAAGATTTTTTATTATAAAGATATACTACATTTCTTCTTCGAATGACCCAAATATTACACATACAAAAAATCATATTTGGGGGTAGTCGCACTTTAATGAAATTCAATCAATACAAGACGGAAATTCTGCTCGTCTATTATTCACGTACACGTACGGTTTATTCACGTATGTTTACAAGTTTTGGATAGAAAACAAAATATCAATTCAGATGTTCCAACTTTAAAATGGTTCTGAACTCGTATTGAATCTCGAGGAAATCATTCTTTATATAAATATTCATTATAAACTTTAATTATAAATTACTGCAGTCTTTAATAGCTTCCGAAGTGATAATTGCGGCTCCATCACCAGGGGACGTTGCAAACAAACTATGATTAATCACTGCCAGTTTGGCTGGATCTTTACTGTAATATTCAAACTGTACTTTATGTAAGAAATCATGAAGTAGACTACTTGGTACCATGGAAACAGTACAACCACCCCAGCCTGCTCCGGTAAGGCGAGAACCAAGAGCTCCAGCAGATCTAGAAATAGTTTGAAAGGCATAAATAATTCATTAATTATTTAAAAATAGTTTAAAAATCAACCAGAATCTGAAAACTAGTTGATACACGTCGCAAGTTTGATCATGAAGCTCGCTACATTTGCTTGCATCTAATTTAAACAAACTGTCGAGCGTTGTGATTGAATGAAAGTACTTGCAGCGAGGTTGTTTTTACGATGAATTGAAAAGAGGCTTAACATGTTACGCAGGAAATTATCGCTCAAAAATCGAAACGAATGACGTGACCTTCACTCGGTCGACAGACATTATAACGTCATTATAAAATGTGTATCGGTATCGGGTAGATTGTTGCATAAATAATCGGAAATCGGTAATTTCTGATTGAGGTACAATCGGTCATTCACTACCAACAATAAGTGTCCAGAAATTCATATCCACTTATTCAGAAAATATTTCACTATTTAAAATGTATAGGGAGCCACCTTAACAACGACACGCTATACTACAATGACAATTCCTATACAACCAAAGAACAGAAACATACCTCCCACATGTAGGAAGAGTCCATGCCATGGATATTATTAAAATCAATTTTTTCTCCAGTGTAGGGCCCAAAACGTGTGTTTTCTTTTACTTTGTCCTTCGTAAACACTCCTTTTCCCGCGCAAGGAATTGAAGAGCGTTTTACACACAAAATAACGTTTTGAAAAATCTATGATATGGATCAAAACAAGACTAGAAACACGAGTTTGATACTTCGATTTTATTTTAAAATCATCATCAGACTAACTGGTTACTTCAAATAATTGATAATAATAAACTGGTTCTAAGCGAGTTACGAATCAAATATAAGACGTGATTTGCTACTTTCGTTCACGAAAATATATCGAATCCTTCAAATTTATACACTATTATTATTTACACGTTCTGACTACATTCTTTGAATTTTTTTTGGTCTTGCGCAAAGGTTTTGTGCCTGTATAATGGTTTGATGAGGTAATATTGGGTATGTTTACCGTCTACATTTTCAAGCGCTGGAGACGACTGTTGGCAATATCCCCCGAGCCACCCCTGGCGAGGGTACTAATTCCATACGGGAATTTACGCCCAGCTATATGCGATAACATAGATAAGTGCATAGCCTGTGTAGAGGCGCTAGGGATGTGGGGGGGGGGGGGAGGGCGAGAGAGATTACACCATTGTGTACTGGATGTTGGACGGTTGTCTTCGTTATGTGCTCGCGCGAGTACAAGTCAAGAGTTGAATGGTATCTATCGAGTTGGTGGTTGGCTAAGATAAACATTTTGTTTCTCTAATGTACACGTCAGAAGTTTAACGGTCATTTTGCAAAAACATTTCCCCAAGTTATATAATGTATATGGGCTTAAATTTATGACCATACAATTGTTAGTTATTACTGGATGAAATAATGAAATTACCTGCAACATTTGACAAGCTCGTCCAGTTCATCACAGCTACACTCATACTGAAAACTACAGCTATCATGACTTTTATTCATCAAACCTCCTAGACACTAGAAAAATACAATGCAAAATAGTAGACAACTCCTTTTGGAAAGAAACTTAAGGAACAGACATTAAACTAGAGATAAAGGAGTTACGGTTATATCTCAAGGACATTGGTTTGTTCAAGGACATTGGTTTGTTCAAGGATTGACACACCAGGCGGAAAGCGCAATTTAAAGATAAATATTAAAGGCAACAATAAAAAGTAAAATTTAATATTTGCTGACGTTTTGTAAATGCGCTAACACGTTTGTAAATGCTCTGAAGATGTGTGATGCATACAACGAAACGTCGGCAAATACATTTTACTCTTTATTGTTATGTGTTGTTTGAGATTCATGTGCAGGGTTTTGACATTAATCATTAGTTTGGTAATATGTCTAATTGTTTCTCTGCCCAAATAACCAATGTACTAATAAGGGGACATAGGTGGGTTTAAAGCATCGTATGCACATAAGGAATATACATATCTAGAATTCTAAACTTCTCAAATAATCTTGTCCAAGAATGTAAGGTGCTTCCAAGGTGATATAATTCGAGTGCTTATGTTGCGAATGTACGCCAATATTATAGGGTTTGGTATACTTCTTTGTTTTTACCACGTACCAACGTTGGTACGCGGAACTGTTGCTTTCTGCGACGTGACATTTCCAAGCCCAAGTTATTCAATACCGTAACTTAGTAGGTATATGCGTACGTCTGACATGTCTTGGCATGAAACATGATTGGACTGATGGCATTAAGGAATGCTGGAGTCGATTTTTTGTATAGGCAATTGTGCTTCTTGTGCTGCCTCGTAGTTTGAAGGCACTGTTCAGAAATCTGGCTGTACATGATGTACCTTATTTTAAAGACTAAGGACACGTGCCAGTCAGGTACGACTAAAAATCTTTAATTATCGCACACTGAACATCGCAAGGCACATACACGTAAGGAACCGGTTATTATTTATGGCGGAGGGAGACATCGAAGACAAAAGGGTTGGGTGAACAACATTTTGAGTGAGTAAAAGGTTGGGTAAATAAAAAACGAAACAACTCAAGGGTTGGGTAATAAAAAATTATCCAATTCCAAAGCAAATTATATAATAAAAAATTATCCATTTCCAAAGCATGACTCACTCAAATATTGAAACCTAAAAGGCAATGTCAACAGTCATATGCCAATACAATATGAAAATCAATCAGAGTCACTATATTGATCATTTCCCGTTTTGTCAGGAGGCAAATGGTGTCTCCACAGAAAGTACATGTGCAGACAACATGAAACTTTAGGGACCGGTCATTATTTATGGCAGGGGGTGGCACCGAAGAGAAAAGGGTTGGGTAAACAAAATTTTGAGTGAGTAAAAGGTTGGGTAAATGAAAAACAAAACAACTCAAGGGTTGGGTAATAATAATTTCCAAAGCATGACTCACTGAAATATTGGAGACTAAAAAGCAATGTCAACAGTCATATGGCAATACAATATGTGAATCAATCGGAGTCACTATCTTGATCACTGTTTTTCAATTTGTTGGGAGACAAATGGTGTCTCCAAAGAAAGTACATGTGCAGACAACGTGAAAATTTAGTCTGCAAAAAAATTCACAATCCGTTATCAAACTCATGTCACAGAAGTGGCAAGGGACATGTGTGACAACTGAATGGTACCTTTTTGTAAAGTTTTTGGCCAGGGGTGAGTATTTATTTTTTAATTGATATTTGAGGTTGGGTAATCAATTTTTTTTACTTTTTAATGGTTGGGTCAGCAAAATTTTTGCCATGAAAAACATTTCTCTTCGGTGCCACCCCCCACCATAAATAATGACCGGTCCCTTAGACTGCAGAAAATTGCACAAACAGTTATCCAACTCATGTCACAGAAGTGGTAAACGACATGTTAGACAACTGATTGGTATCCTTTTGTGACGTTTTTCGCCAGGGGTGGGCATTTATTTCGTAACTGATATTTGAGGTTGGGAAAAGTTTTTTGAATTTTTAATTAATAACGGTTGGATGAGCAAATTTTTTACCAAGAAAGGATTTCTTTTCGGTGCCACCCCTGTCATAAATAATGACTGACCCCTAAGAGAAAATGACAACCCAAGCAAAATAATTGAATTATTATTATATTCTTATAATTCCTTACCACAATAGCATTGTTAGGTTTTCTCTCGCAAACTTCACGAAATTCTAAAACTCTTTTTGCTTCACTATAAACATGTCTGGCTCTGTCTTGCAGTTTGAAACTACTGACATGCTCTGTTGACTCGCTCAAACATTGCTTGATTAATTCGTCGTCCTAAAAAGTAAAAAAAAAAATGTTCACATTAAGAGGAGAATCTTTTGCATGTTACGTAACACGCGCTCAAAACTAATGAATATTATACTTTTCTACTTGCATGGTTATGACTATATTCAACTTTATTTTTGAAAAAGTATGTTCAGTGCTTAATCTGTAACATTGTAACATTATGCTAAAATAAAGAGTTCTAGATGGTACGCCAAAGAGAAAATTCTGTCTGAATTTCAGTAAGTTCTGCTTATATTGCTGTATATAAATATGGCGTTAATCTGAGTGAATATCCACACCGGGCAAGCGTGAAAACCGAACCTACGATCTTTGGAATGCTAGCCCAAATGCTCTGCCAACTGAGCTACGCGGTCAGGTCGGTTCGAGTATGTGATATTTCGGAACTGAGTCTAGTTCCTTCGATATCGATGATTACTAGATTGCATTGATATCGAAGGAACTAGACTCATTTCCGAAATATCACATACTCGAACCGACCTGACCGCGTAGCTCAGTTGGCAGAGCATTTGGGCTAGTATTCCAAAGGTCGTAGGTTCGATTGCCACCGTGGCCGGGCATATTTTTCAAGCTTTCCCGGTGTGGATATACACTCAGAGTAACATCAAAAACATCATATTCACCTGAGTAAATAACACCAACACTGAAAAAATCCATGGCGCTAATATTACAGCATCAATGATTGTATTTAAATTGACAATAATTAACTAGTATACTTATAGTTTTTCTCAACAGGCAGATGCATTTAAAAAGGTTGCTATAACTGTGTAAACCACAAAATAAAGCTAAAACAAAGTGATTGTAAGAAGAATGCCAAAAACATTTTAGGTTTTACACACTTTTCATCGCAAATACACGACATTGAAAAAATAGGTACGCAGCGCGTACACTTGTTAGCCTCCAAAAGCTTCCCTAGAAAGATTGGATACAAAACAACAAGGCAGAAACCGCAGAATGTTTGAGCAAAATAGAGTTGACAAGCATATATACTATTAAATATACTTATGACATCACCGATATTATAACTAGAAGTTACTATTGCAAGAAAAATGCTGCCTCAGCCCCAAGGGATGAAAGGCAGCATACGCAATTTGACGAATAAGGGGCTGTTTATATGATCCCGCTTTGCCAGGACGAGATATGAGGCAGGATGATTTCGACGTATTGAAATAAGTCACGGTGCATGATTCAGCAAAAAACTTCATTATTTTCTAGAGATGGATTATATAGTTAACTGTAAACGAAAAATTAAAAATCAAAATGTTATTGTTATTTGGTATTTTCATAAACGAAAGGTTTTTCGGGAAGCAATAATGCTCTTCTTGAACTACAATATCTTTTCTACAACATTTGAGTTCTATTAACCAGCATTTGAACTTTCGTTTAGGATAGCGACTTATTTAAATACACCAAAATTATCCCACCTTCCATCATGTAAACAGCCCCTAAGACGTCTGTTTAGGAGGTAGGAAAAGTGCAATTTGAATATCAAACACCTTGCAGAAAGTCGAAGGTGATCTAAATGTTCTAATTCTACTTTCTTGCCATGAGCGGTTTTGTACGAATACCTTCAATGCTTATAATTTCTTGCTTTTATATGTATAGTTATAATACTGTCAGCGGTGAAGCTAGCCATAGCAACAGGTCATGCTATGCAAGTTTTTAATGATTGGCATTATTCAAATAGATGCAGGTTTATTAGCATAGCATGACCAGTTGCCATGGCTAGCTTGCCAGTGAATATTGAACAATATCATAAAAATATAAACGATAATACTTGAATGAATCATTGGACATGTAGAATTTAATACCAATTTCATATATAGAAATACTAAGTCAGTTTTTGTTCCAATTATCGTTTTAATGGCACCTTCAAGGCTACCGGTACCCTATCGCAGAACAACTGAACAGTCTGCTGATGGGGAGACAAATACTATGCATCAAAACAATTTTCAATACACCTTTTCGATAATTACGTCATGAATACGTTCATGGCAGGGAGCCACTTGGCTAATTCCGTCTTGATTCATGAGAGCGAGGCTCCCAGGCCAAGAACATATTCATGTAATTATCGTAATTATCATAAAGGTGTATTCTCACTGGCCGAGAGCAATAGGGAATTTAAGATTGCGACAACGGAGAACGGGTAAGCACAACGGTTAAAAGCTTGTTTTCACAATTGTTTTCATAGCGCCAAATAAAATTTACGTATCCGACTATACGACCTAAAAGCGGCGAAATAATTACGATTTACGATAAATTTGTAATGATATACATTGAGTATTTGTATACATATATAAACACAAATATTTCAAACGTAGTCAGTAGTTCATCGTCACCCCTTATCCTCATTTTTAACACGATGCAAAATCAATTCAAAAATGTTATAGGGTGGAAATTTTTTAAATTTGAGCAAAAGGTTTTCTCTTTCCCAAGGGCTATATGTTGACTCACTGCTGCGTGGTCTTTGCGTGGGGCCGCGCGGATGAACTTGATCGATTTCAGTTTTTCTCCCAAAGCACCTGGGTACGAAACAGGCTCGAAGCCACGTTACTAGTATCAAATACAGTTAGTAATACTGTTGACTGCTGTTTAATTATATTACATTCTGTGGATCTTCAGATTTCAACTTTATAGTTTACACTTACACTGATTTCAAGTATTTTACATATCTCTTCTCTTGTGTAAGGTTCATTGTGCAGAACTTCGTCCACAAATTCTAACCTAAAATATCGTGAAGAACTAATGTAGCATCATAGTGCTTGTTTCATTTCTGGGCTAGCTCCAACTTGACAAAACTACTGGATTAACGATTTTAAACAACGCACGAACACATATTTTTATTCATGGGCATTCGGCTATCAGATCTTGAAGGTACGTATATCACTGGAAAAATCAAAACACTTTCATACTGTGGAAATTTTATAGAAATTTTATAGAAATGCCTAAAAACAGTTTGGAAATTCAATTTCCAAAGTTTAATTTGCACACTTCTATAGTATGGACGTTTCCACAAAACGTGGAATATTCTAGAAATCTAGAAAACTAAAATCTGGCATTCAAATTTTCCAGTGTATATATGTCTCTTAGCCGAAAGGTCGTGAATAAAAGCATTTGTTCAGCGAATTAATGTTGTGATATGTAGTATGTTTGATTTACCTAAAATAATTGCCAAAATTCGTATACCGAGTAGGCGAAACGGTAACCTATCCCCCACCCGTCTAATAGATGAGGTGAAAGAGCGACGTACTGTGACATTAAAAAACGACCGGATTACTTGCAAATCTGTGCCAATGTGACTGACTGTACTGTACTCAGAATTTGTAAGCGAGAATTTCACCATCTGCTGTTACGGTATACACTCCACTTCACATATTTACCTCCGCCAGGAGGTTATGTTTATAGAGAGGTTCAGCTTTGACTTGCACTACCGCTAACCAATCAGATGGGTTTAATCTACCTGATTAACCAATCAGATGTACGCAGCGCAAGTGAGAGGCAGCGTTAGTCAAATCTGAACCTCTCTTTTACCACCGCCATAGGAGGTTGAATGTATTTTCAACCGCATTTGTATATATCTGCATGTTTGTGTCTCTGCATGTGTGTGTTTGGCTGTCAGGGGCCAGTTGTTCAATGCTGGGTTAGCTTAACCCTGGGTTAACCTAAAATTCAAAGCAAAACTTCCTGACAGCTTGTTTATAAATTTTGAATATTTCTTCAGAAATCTTGTCTGGAAAAGTAGGAGTTCTCTTTTCTAAAGTTTTGAATTCAAATAAACAGACGTGCACAAATACATTAACTAAGACAACAGGTTAAATTTTAACCCAGGGTAGCACTAATCCACCTTTGATAAAACCGGCCCCTGGACAATAACTTCAAAATATCAAACGTATTAATACGAAATTTGTGGGACTACTAGACACATAACTTAATTCGATGGTGGAGGTATGCAGTCTCCAAGTGTCCTCTAGTTAAATCTAGTTAAATATATTCTTACATTTTCTCTAAGGTAACGTCCAGCTTCTCTTGAACTTGAGCAAGTTTCCTCACTGACTTCCAATCGATACCTTTAGTCTTGGCTAAAACCTACCAGTAAGAAAGTTTTCATTCTATTTAATTGTTTACTATATGCAAGAGTGAAAGAACGAGAGCTTTTCGCCGAACATTTTCCAAAGGATAAAATGGCCTGAAGGTTATTAGACTTGTTCCTGCTCTCTCTTATACGCTGCGATTTCTCGTATAATATTTGTATTTTGGTGTATGTATATAATCGAATAAACACGCGTGAAGTGGTTGCATTTCAAATTTCGCCATTAACTAAATCATATATAGCTAAGTAAAGGTGGATTGTGGCGTGAAAACGGTCTGTGCCAGTGTAGGTAGTGCCAATAATAACAAGACTTCGGTCGGTAAGGATGCAACTACCTTGAAAAATACAAGGAGAATTTCGACGTTTCGACGAAGTTCGCCTTGTATTTTTCAGGCATCCATATCAACCGAAGTTTTAGTAATTTTCATACTCCAGAATACAAATCGTATACAGGATATATCAAGGGAGCACGCAAGAGTTCGTTTTGCCTGTCTTTTAATCAGTTTACTACCTTCGTCTACGTTTGTTTTCTTTTTGTTCGCCATTTTAAAAATATATGCGGCATTCTTCATTAATGTATCGCAGGCACAAATCATGAAGTTCGGCCGAACGGTGAGGCGAAGGCCGAGCTCGTTCCGAACCACTTAGCAAAATCTTCGCCTCACCGTTCGGCCGAACTTCGTGATTAGGCCTGCGATACATTAATGAAGAATGCCGCATATATTTTCAAAATAGCAGACAAAAACAAAACAAATGTAGACGAAGGTAATAAATTGATTAAAAGACAGGCAAAACGAACTCTTGCCTGCTCTCTTGGACAAATCGTAGCGTGTATTTTACACGCCACGATTTGTCGTGCACGATTCGTATTCTGGCGTATGTAATCGAATAAGCACGCGTATATAAAGTGGTTGCATTTCAAGTTCCAGCACAAGCTAAAGGAAGTGGAGCAGTGGCGACAGCAGTGATTTTCATACGCCAGAATACGAGAATACGGATCGTCCACGACAAATCGCGGTATGTAAACGTACCTTAATATAAACAAAACATACAAATTACTCTACTGTACCTGTGCTGCAGTGCGACATTCAACTACACGAACATTGAAATGTGTTCCGGCAGTTTTAGATTTGTTCATCTCCACCTACGACCAACAGAAGAAAAAGCCAATAGTTTTATAGTATTAGTATATACAGTAAATATATCACGATGACGAGGGTATAAGCAGGGGTGGGAAATATAGGTGAGCAAGAAATGTTAAACAGCTGCAGGAAATTCGTTTGAATCAAGATTTGATATTGAAATAACTAAGGAAACCTATATTGACACCCATGTCCCACCATGGGCACAACAACATATGGTTGACAGATATTATTCCTTGAATTTAAAACCATGGTCAGCTAGAACACTATATGTTTATGTACAGATTTAGCACAAAAATACTCCGTTGATCCTGGGTATAAGTATGGGAAAATGGGGGTATAAGTATGGGAAAATGGGGCTATAGTACTAAGGCTATCGAAGGTATGATTCTTCCTTTGGACTTTATTTAATAACGCAGTTTCCTTCTACTCATGCAGAGGGGGAAAGTCATAGATATCTTATATACACTAGATAGCGCATCTCTTTTAGTAAAATTGAAGCCAAAAATATCCCAGCGGTTACCCCCATTTGAATTAATAGATGGCGGCCATGTTGAAGTTTCCCACTCGCTAATAAACGCTTAAAAAACAACAATAACTTTCATCATTTGAACAGTTTGAAAATGTATTTGGAATATAGGTTTAACTTAATGTTTAAGTTCCCTGTTTAAGAAATAGAAAACATGCGAGTCTTCTCATTTCATGGGAATATCCTGAGTCTGCAATCACGGCTTTAATTTTTGAATTGCAGAATAATTAGATGCACTGTCTAGTGTATATAAGATGTCTATGGGGAAAGTGTGGTTTAGAAATGTATTGATGTCAAGACACTGTGACGAGACACTGAAAAGCCCTGATGGTATGTGCAAAACAGTATACTGCATGTATCGTTGTTGGAGTTTTAAACGACCCGACCTGGCACAAAAACATCCACCAAATAAAAAGAAGAAAGAGTATCAAATTCAAGACATGGTACCTACTGGAGCAAAAACTTACCAGACTGTTTGCAATTACAAATACAACTCCATCAGGAATAGTGATGTCTTTATAACGGAGAGGGTCAAATTCAATGTGTTTGGCCTAGAAAGCAATAGTAAGCACATGTTGCTATTCCTGTAGCTACAAAACCACATTTTATGCAAACATAATTTATCTAAATGACTATACTTTAGAATGGCGAAACGTTCGCAAAATATGTGGTCGGATTCCCGCCTTTCTGTTGCTGTAAAGTAATTCGCTATAATAGGCTATCAGACTTTCATAGTTGAAATAAAGCATAGCTGGCGGCCGAGCGGAGGGGAGCTACAGGGATATACTCCTTCCAAAGTAGAAGTGAAGGGGCTACGGCCTACGCTCTTCATAAATATAAGAATTGGAGAACGTACAGCGAAATAGAAATAAAAACAAATATCGTTAAATGATTTTTGCCTGTAACTACATGTACTATAGTCATGCTTTCTTTATTTAGGATAAAAACAGTCATGGTAAATTCAGATAGGATAACAATGAATAGGTCGCGTTTGTAACCATTTCATGAGGTTAAAACATTTAAGAGCAACAAAACACACATTACGCCAACTCACCGTTCCAAAACCTGCCAGGAACGAGCAAGCTTGATCCATCCTGCAAAAACGTAGACAGATTTAGGGATGGCAAGGTGCATTTATATCGATCTTTTTTTCGGGTTATTTGACAAAAAAAGTTAAATGTTATGTGTACTGTGCTTATGTAATTGCTATTAGTCACTCTATATACTAACGCTTAATATGGAGTACATTATATGGTGTATTTGTACTGTAATGTACTGCAGTCTAGTGTACATGCAATAGTGTATTGTATCGTGCTCTACAGCACTTTACATTAATTAGGTACTGTAAATAATGTACCTTATAGTAATGTCCGTTTCCTTACAGTACTGTACTGTACCTTATATAGTATCGTACTGTACCGCACTGGTATATATTTTAGTACAACAGTGCATGGTACTGTAGTGTTGTGTAGTCTGCTGTATATTATTGAACTGCACTCCACTATGCAAGTGTACCTAACCCACTACCGTATACAGTACTGTTCTAATTTTTCCCAATGAATCATACATTATAGTATCCCATGAAATCCCATCTGGGACATCTGTATGCAAATATTCAATAACACACTTGCTTCATCAAGAACTTAGAATTGCTTCAATGATATTTTATACAATTTCAAATCACTTACCCACCGCCTTCAGTGCCAATATACCGTTCGCACTTTGTACAAACCTCAGCAATCTCAATCTAAAAGAGAAATTTCATTCTTTTCGTACTCATCAAATATCGAACGTAAAAGCTGATAGACAGATCTAACCAATAACGTATGAGGTTGTACAGAGAAGGAAAGTTTGTTTCTTATCGACAGCTAGTCCTACAATTGATTTAATATTACGCTGCAAAAATCCCTGAGTATTTTGACTCAAAAATGTAAATTAAATATTTAATGCAACCACAGTAATTCAAAATGTTTAGTAAAATATTTATTATAAATTTATGAGCAAAATAATTTACTCAAATCTTTGAGCAAAGTTTCAAATTTACTTTACCAGACTTACTTTACCAAAAAATGAGTAAAATTTCTCATAAATAGTAGTAATTTTACTCGATATTACGAGTCACTGTATATGCCTTATTGGGTGCATTATTTCTATTCATGATAAGTTTTTGAGTCAATTTTTTTGTAGTGAATCATGAAAGCACTGCCTATATACTCCATGCACTTAAACGGATTTAATTACCTTGGTAAGTTTGCCACCATTGGCATGCATTGTCGCTAAACCAGAACAACAAACAAATGCAGATGAACTCGATAGCCCTGCGTTCTGATAAAGTCAAAAAAACGAATTACAGTATCACATTTCAGAAAACAAAAAATAAATACTAGGTGACTACTCAAGTTATCAAAACCGTCTTCATGCAACGAATTATTTTTACCTTTGGTACATTTCCATCTACCACTATGTTCATACCAATAGGATGTTTTATATCAAGGTGCTCAACAATTCCCTACAAAAGAATCCTAAAGTTGATTAGGATATTTAACAATTATTCGCCGAAGGCGAGGTGATTATCGGGGAATATTCACCGAGACGAAGTCGAAGTGAATATTCCGCGAAAATCACCGAGCCTGATGCGAATAATTGTTTTGTCTTAATTGGTATTTTTACGCAAGTCTTTTGTGTGTTTTTTTGGGACTGAATTTATTTTAATTTCGCTTATTTCTTTATCAGTGATTTCCACAAAACCGCTAATCGCCATCTTGTAAACTAGTTATTACTCTTATATTCACCACCTGTGGGCGAATATAGGGGAATATCACGTCAAATTTAAGAAATTTTTCCAATCACCACGTCGGATTTCTTATATTTACTTGTGTAAAATACTAAAATGTAATGTCAGGATTTGGGGCATCTCACTCGATATAACTAATTGTTGAAGGGATTTTTAGATGGAAATTTCGAGTTGAATTATTATTCCTGCCCTCTAGCAGGAATGGAACCTGTGTACCTGCGTGCAACGCTCTACTGTAACCAACTGAGCTATATACAGTATAGTCGAGCTTTGGCCAGCTAAATAAAATGCACAACAGACACGATCCAATCATGCAGGCCAAAGCTAATCAATTTCAATAAAATAATGAAAGTATAGGCAGCGGACAAATGCTCTACACTACAAGTGATCGATTATTTTTTATGTTTCAGTTCGGAAATAGATTTTTCCGGACAGTAATCGCGTATAGCCGTGCGTATATAGCTGGATAAGTTTCTTTCCCGATTGAAAACGTTACGAGGAGATACCAGTAGTGTTGTCGATGTGATCAAATGTCATGATAAACATGACTTCTTTTGATTTCTCTGCCAGCATTAGCGCTCTCATTGGTGGTCAAATAAAAACTTTAAAACACGGCCCTTTCTGGGAAGAAACACTAATCTCTGTGAATGTGTCCAGATTCATTCAATACGATTAATCCATGTCAATGGATGGTTGATAATGTTTAATCGATAACGAAAATGAACAGAGGAGAGCAGCTCGATACTGCATGTATACCGTATTGCTCACACATGTATGGTGATTTACTGCATGGGATTTAGAAACATAAAAACACTTCTCGATGATAAATTAGAGTGCGTCAGCCTGTTTATAAAGAACCAACACCAAGAATTAAGAGTGGTTCATATATATTTACATCCAGGCGACGTTAAAGTTTTGAATACATTTTTCAAAACGTTGTCATTGGAAAACTTTTAAATAGTAAGGAGGATGCTTGGCCAGGGGAAAACATATATTGTAGAATGACGAGGTACAGTAAAGTATCTGACCGAATCATTTCATTTTACGAGCTCTGGATGATCTGAGCTACCCGGATAATAACTGTAATCATTAAGAGGAGATTTTTTTGTATGTTACGTAACACGCGCTCAAAACTAATGCGTATAATATACCGCTTGAGGTTATGACTAAATTCAAAATTTTATTTTTGGATACGGTTTCTTGGATATCGGCAAACAAACGTAAAAAGTATGTTTAATGCTTTATCTGTAAAATAATGCTAAAATGAAGAGATTTTAGATGATACGCCAAAGAGAAAATCAAAATGATGCCTGAAGTTCAGTAAGTTTTGCTTATATGGCTGTAAATATGGCGTCAATTTTAAAGCATCATTGATAATTGTATTTTAATTGACAATTTTTAATCATTATTTTATGTTTCTCAACCGGCAGATGCATTTAAAAAGGTTGCTAACTGTATAAAATAGAGAATAAAGCTAAAACAAAGTAATTTTGAGAGGAACGCCAAAAAGATTTTAGGTTTTGAACACTTTTCATTGCAAATACGTGACATTGAAAAAAATCGCCTCTTAATATTTAATTATCAAAATCGTGGTTCAATTTGTGGTTGGCTAACAGCTTATTTTTATGCATGCATGTACAGTGCAAAACATTCGTTTTCGATTTTGCAAGCAATACACTGTAGGTCCTTCGAAGGAATGCAAAAATATAGATCATGCAGAAAAACTGGAACGCATGGAGAAGAATGGGATTTTATTATGGAAATATAATGAAGGTATTGGACTTATTTGATCAGGACTGGATCATGTCATTGTTGCATGTTGTAGGTTGATTCACTTCAAAGGTCTATTGTTTGAACTTTGTACCTTATAGCCGCAGAGAAAGTAATGATACCACTCTTTACCATCAATATTGTAATCTTCAGTGCCTACTTCGTATCTCCTGAAAATTAAATACACAACAAATGTTTAGTGTATAGTGGGCATACTCTCTACATGTGACTATACTGACGTACGTACTGTACAATGAATAGTGTTCGTCTAATGGATCACACATGGGGTTTATGTACACCACAGTGGATTTAACCTTACCTAGATATATCTTGACATTATTTACTTTTAGGAACTTTCTTTGTCGGACTTATTCGTTTTTACGTAATTCAGTTTTTGACGTAGATATGCCATGTACCTGGTCTCTTGTTCGGGGCTGCCCATGTCACAGAAATTAAAACAATGTATAGTTCTTTGATTGAAGTAAAGTTCGTTTCGTGTACATGCCCAAGGCACATGTTTTCAAAACCAAGTTAGGTTTATTTTCCGTAAATTTTTCCAAAATCTGCCATTTACGTATTTGAGAGATCGGTTTGTGGATTATGCGCAAATCGAGCTTTGCCTCCGCTATAATTTATAGTGTATAATGTAAATATAATTGTAAAGTTTATAAGGGGGTGGGGGTGCCTCGCATGGGCTTCTCCTGACCCGTTCGCACTTTTCCTTTGGGGTTAATATACCTATTTATTGTTATTGCTGATACCTAATATTCCCAATAAAGTTATAAAGATATATAATAGGGAGTTTAAGCTGCACGTTTCCGGGAACGGCAAACGGCAGGTTCGAACTTTCTTGTCAAAATTTTGGTTGAACGTTTTCGTTTCATATTTTCTTTCTTGCGTCGAAAGAATAATTATGTATTTCAGTTTTAAACCAGCAAGTTAATTAATTTTACTCTTTATTGCCTGATACGGTGATACCGTAAAATTTTTCTTTGCCTGGCGTTTGCCGTGTAACACGAAGCTTAAACTCTTTACTGTATACCGTAGGAAGGTGGCGGCATCATGTTACAGTAGGTACCATATAGTGGGATTATACAGAGAGGGGTACAACACCTAGCTTTGGAACAAGGCTTCTTGGCAAGGAAAATTTGTCCATTTTTTTTTGTACACATGCACGAGCAAATAAAACTTGTCCAGGAAAACGTGCTTGTCTGCATTTCAACTGGCGTTTCAAATAAGTGACAATTTATGATAAGTGACATTTCAAATAAGAGTCATACAAGCTGTTGTACAAGGGAAATTTTGTTTGTGTGTATGGGCGCCAAGGAAAACTTGAGAAGTGTAAAAGAAATACTTCTATGGTTTTGGCAAACAAAAGGCGACCTTGACCTGAGATATAAATGGGTTTAACAACATTCCGTGCACAGGAGCAACAAAACTTTCCCGTCTGTATGGGCAATTACTTATTTGAAAGTGTTAGCAACGTCTTAATTAGAAATACAGTACTTTGAGATGTTTTAAATCACAATTTACAACTTCGAGTGCAGTGTGTGATATAGCTACTGTAATTTCCCAAACGGTAGAAATTGAGTACTTATGAAGAAATTTTATACCAAAGTTGGTTCAGCTATTAATTGATTAATATACGTTTATTACATTTATTAGTGTTGATTTCTTTTGTGTTTTGCTAATAAATTAAGAGTATGAGCATTGTAATAAGAAATTCTGCCTTACTTAAACTTTGTGTCCATGTTACACAACACGATTTTTCCATCATGGCTTGGTGCCACAGCGATCACAATATCTTGTTCTATGGCCATTGGTAACACACCATAACCACAATAATCAATGTGTTCACCTAAACAAAGTAACGGACAGTTATATAATAGCTATTCCACAGGATCAAGATATATACACGCATAGTATATGGAGATGCATGATGTGTGTGGAGTGTGTGAATGAAATTCAAAACCCACATACACTGCATGTATAATCCAAAACGAGGGGCATTTCACTCCAAAAATCCAGATACACTTTGCCAAAAATCAGCTAAAAATCCGGTACAATTTGGATCCACTAAAAAATCCGCGGATTTTTGAAAGTCCGAAAATCCCGTACGCTTTTTTGGAGTGAAATGCCCTCCAGACTAGACAATGGAGCTGGAAAAATCTGTTGTAGTGTTGTTTAATTTAAATTGTCAGTATCATTCATCGGCACTTCGTATACTCTTATACTATCCTGACAAAGGGTCTTCTCTCAAAACTTGGAAATCCTCTACTTATATTTTCCCTTGTTGAGGAATATCCATACAACGCGGCTTCGGTGGCGGAGAGCAAGTGGCGTTCGTCAGAGGAAGCCCCTTTCACCTCAAGGTCTGTGGGTTAGATTCTCACTAATACACTATGGCCTACGGACCCGACTCATGTATATAGATAAAATAGCCTATCAGTAGGTAAGTATACACGGCTAAAAACGCACAGGTTGTTCCAAGTTGATATCGACAGGCGTGAACAATGTTGTGCGCGGCCAACTATGAACAAGTTTTCAACCATACAAAACAATAAATACTCCGAAAATTGAAAGCATTTTGAAAAATTTATTTCGACGTTTCGAGTAACTATAGTCATCATCAGGAAATGAATATATTCATTTCCTGATGATGACTATAGTTTAGTCGAAACGTCGAAATAAATTTTTCAAAATGCTTTCAATTTTCGGAGTATCTATTGTTTTGTATTTTATCAATTGTATTTTGTCAACCATGTTGTTCCAAGTTGTTACAGTTGAACAATGCTGTAACAACATGATGACAATACTGTTCATAGTGGGCGGCACAACCTTGTTCACGCCTGTCGATATCAACCTGGAAGAAGTTGTTGATTTTCTCAATTTTTACACATGTAGTTACACGCGTAATAACGTTCAGGTTGTTGCAATGTTGATGAAAACAGGATTGAACAATGTTTTGCTGCCCACATTGTTCACAGTTGTCAAGTAAGAGTCAGCTTCCATGTGATAAGAAAGGATAAAATAAGACAAGAAAAGATATATAAATTATTATTTTGAAAGGTTGACAGATTAAAACATAAAGTTACAGCCACAGGGTGTTAGCCAGAAAAAGAAAGTTTTGTCTGTTAAACGTAAATTGGGAAAGGTTTTTGACCGATCAAAGTCCCTGTGTAGGAATAAATAGTGTTTTTTTCCAACGTGTTTCTCCTTAGATGCAAACAACGGTAGCTTTGTTTTGTACATTTCGTTTCCGGTGAATGAACACTGAAAATGCACCCGATGGCACTTTGTTTTGTATATTTCATTTCCGGCGAATGAACACGGATGGATTACACTTTGTTTTGTACATTTCATTTCAGTGAATACACACCCAATATGAATGGGAAAAAGTAAATTTCTTTCTTTGATATAATAATATAAAATCAAACGAAATGCACTTTCTCATCAGAAAAAATGAAAATCTTCCAGTAGACCCAGTTAGGAAAGCCCCTTAGCTACTTCAATTGCCGGACAAAGCAATAATTATACAAATACATGCATGATAGGTTGCAGAATAGATGAAAAAGGAGAATTAAACAAGGATAAACTATTACCAATGATATTAACTCTTCCTGGAGCTCGGCAGTAGAACAACGGGGCAACGCCATATAATGAATCAAATTTTTTCTTTATTGCCTGATATCTAAAAATGTAACCAAAATTATCCACATAATTTTCACAATACTGTATATACAGTGTCCAGACGTAGTATATACATGTATTAGACAGACTTAATGGATGGCACACTTAATGGATGGCCAGGAAGTTCCAGTTTTGAAATGTTTTTCACTGCAGCAGAAATTCCAGTCAACTGTATAGGAAAAACAAAATTTTCAAAAAGTTGTAACTAAATAAATACTGTAATGCACCCTGAATGCCCAAACATCATCATGACACTTTTGGTAATGAGCATGAAAATTTCAATTATGAGGCCAATTATCTGCATTGATCTGTAGATCAATGGTAAGGGACCAGTCATTATTTATCAAAGGGGGGAGGGGAATTTTTTCTTTCCTAAATTTTTAAAATTGAAAGCCCCCCCCCTTAAAAGAGCAAAAATTTAATGATGACCCCCCTACATATTAGAATATTTTTCTTTGACCCCCCTCCCATTTTCACTATTACTCGTCAAATGGGGATACCCAGGCGTTATAGTGTTAATTATTAAGAATATGGAACTGACAAGATATAACGTCGACCAAAAATATATATTTAATTTAGCAGAAAATTATAATTAAAAGAGGAGTATTTTTATATATAACACTAAAATCACGTTTCCATTTGGTCTGGGCGATTGTAACCATGTTTAACGGCAGGGTATTAGTGTTTGGAGGCAGGTGCCGTTTGTGGTCCAAGGTTGCAACTAGACTTGATCGATGGCATGAAGTATTGCCATAGCAGCTGTGCAGCAACAATGAGAGTAACAATCAGTAATGTTAAGCAGCAAAAGGGGTAGCCATGACAATTCTGCTCTGGCACAAGTCACACTGACCATAGCACTGACAAGTCAGTGGAAGCGAAATACAATGTATAGTGGTCTATACATCCTATTTTATGTGAGATTAAAAATTATATAAAATAAAATGACATACTACCGGATAAAATCCTCTAGAATAAACATGGGTGCGTGGGTGGGGAAAAGGTATCGAAGCGCTAAATTTGCTGCAGCTAGCTTAAGGCAAAGCATACAATGGCAGAATGAATACCCAGACCGAAGCACTGATCACAAGGCACGAAACAACCCCCTTTGATCATGACGTCACAGACTCCCCTCAGCGGATATGCATGGCCTGCATAATACATCCACCGTTAACCTTGCTCAAATGTATTTAACCACATCAAGATAGCTGATGTAATAATACATTCAGTCAATTTATCTCTGCAATCAGTAAAGACTGATTTGCATACAGCACACACAAGACAAGATAAATCCAGACTATTTCACATCAGTGACCATGATTTACTTGCAACATTTACAACCAAATGGATACCAGGCTTATTAAGCAAATTCCTTCAAATTCAATTGCAACCCCTACCCTCCTCATTTTCTTGAATAAATTTAATAGCCCCCCCCCCCTTCTAGTCATTTATTTATACATATGGCCCCTTATTTTTCCCCCTCCCCCCCCCTTCCATAAATAATGACCGGTTCCTAAGATGAAAAATTGACGACTTCAACTCAGATCAGAGAAATTTACTAGCAACTCCAGTATAAGAAGACTTACTACTAAACAAGCAATTCTAGCATTTCAATGGAGAATGGCAATTGCAGTTGACAGTGTTGTAAATACTCATTACTATTTAAAGTATACTACTTACTTAATAATTTTTCGGTAATTAATTACTTGTTGCACAGAAGTAATTTTGTAACACATTTTTACAATTAATTACTTTTTTAAGGTACTGAGTAACATTAATTTTTGAACTTGTAATTAGCATTACTTTGGTTTGCTTTTTTATTTTTTCCAACCTTAATACAGACCTGCCAACCCTTGAGTAGCAGAAATAGTGAGTTGCTATCTAAAAAGTCGTGAGATTAATTGGAAAATCGTGAGATTTAGAAATTTTCAGGTTTGCCCAATGACATGACCAGGGTTATATTCAATCTTAGGATAGTATGTGTTATATTTTGTTAATATAACCGTAAATGCAAGGCTTATTAAGAATAGGCTGTTTTTTCTTTTCTATGGCTTTAGTAGCTTCCACTGCACAAAAACAAGAAAATTACAAGTAATACTAGCAGGACAATAAACTTAGCAGGACACACCTTTTACTTTTTAACACAAACATCACCTATACAAAATTCTGGCGTTGTACATTGCACATTATTAATAATTAATACACTAATAAAGTATGTTTCCTCAGAAGAGCGTGTCTAATTGTAACTAGATGTTGTGCTTTTCGATGATTTCATAAGTTCCGCAAATCGTGAGATTTGGGGACTTAATCGTGAGAAAGCATAAAAAATCGTGAGTCTCACGATTAAATCGTCTGCTTAATACCATATATATGGGAAAGGTCTGCTTAATACCATATATATGGGAAAGTACAAAACATGGACTCCCCGTCCATGGACCTCTTGTCTGGACCGGGTCCACGGACCCCCTCTATGACTGGGTCCATGGACCCCCGCTCCATGGACCGGGTTCACGGACCCACGATTTCTCAATGGCCTTATGCATCTATGAATGAATGTTACCGGTAACAGGAATATATTTTGAATACACCTGTCTAAATAACCCTGAACAGGGAGAAAACAAATTTACTTGCAAGGTCAAAATGTTCTATTAATTTGCTCCAAATAACACTTATACATCCAGCTAGCTAGTGCACAGCTCACAAAAATGTATTAATCGTTCGAAGCAAATCAAATTGCTGATTATGAACAGTGCCTTTAGACCACTTTCATAAGAGACAAATTGAAACACTTTTTTGTATATTGAAGCAAGAAGGCTAATTAAGATGCACAATCAATGAAAGTGGTTTATTATTTCAACACTTTGCTGGCAGTGGTTTCTTTAGTTTCATAGACTGTGATCATTGACCGGCTTTGCAAGTCAGTAACACTATTATTATTCACATGGTGCATTGATTTGTCATGATATGTCATTAGCAAGCCTCGCTTTAGTATGAAGAAAACACTGGAGTGTAGATGAGGTTTGCTGCTAAGAACAAAAGTGCTTTAAAACCACTATAATATTTTTAAAAATTGAAAACTCGAATCGCATGTTTAACAGTTAAATATCGAAATTTGCGGCCCATGGAGGGGGTCCATGGACCCGGTTCATAGAGGGGGTCCAAGGACCCGGTCCATAGAGGGGATCCATGGACCCAGTCCATACAAGGGGTCCATGGACTGGGGGTCCATGTTTTGTACTGTCCCCATATATATATCAGGAAATTTCAGAAGGAAATGGAATAGAAGTCGAATGTCTGGACATTGAGAGTTTGTGTAACTCACATGGTTTAAATGCGACTGCATGCACAGAAACTGCTGGTCTACTCAAATTAACCCATTAAGCGCCAGCGCTCTCCCCTTGACGAGTAAAATACTTTGGCGTTAGACAGAGTAAAATATTAAAGTAGGGTGCATCAGGGTGCAATGCAACTCAATGGGTTAACTAGACACATGGGCAGATAGGCCAGTTAATGCAACTCAATGGGTTAAGTAACAAATTCAAAGCAATTGAATTATACACCTCGTTTTGTATGTTGCTTATAGGTGCATTTTGGTATTTTATTGGCACTTATAGCCACTTAAGTAAAAAGTAGTCTGACAAGTAATTAGTAATCAATAATTTACTTAATTTCAACAAGTATATAAGTAATTTGTAATTAATCACTTTTGAAGGAATTAAGTCATTGTAATATAAATTACCTTTTCGGAGAATTGTAAATTTTTACTCTTTTTGGTAATTTTTACAATTATATTTATATTAATTTTTTACGATTACATTTTGAAGACTGAATTAAAACCATTCACTATATTCAGTGTCATACAATATTAAAATAGTATAAATGGGATAAATCAACACACGTTAACTTCAGCAACATTACCAGCAAGATACTATCAAATGTTACTATAATCAACATATAAAATACGACATCGCGGGGGTGAATTATATACATTCTAAATTTCAAAGAATTTTAGAGCAGGGCTCTCGCATGCAAATATTTAAAGGCTTGATGGTCCTAGAATATTATCTTTACATCTTACCTTGATGTTGCTGCAGCACCAGATGTTGGATAAACAATATTTAAGTCACCACAAATAGGAACAAATTCTTTATTTTCTCCTTCCATTTTGTTCAACAACAAATTTCAACCATTGTTTAGCTTCCTTCCAATTCGTCTTGTGACCGGAAGTAAACATGGATGACACTTTTTTCAGATTGATCCTTAAAAACGGGAATGTTGGCTGGATTTAGCGGTTAATTCGAGGATTTAAAATATTAATGAAAAGGATTCGAAGAAAAATCTAACGTTATAACTTTAATATAATGACCAACGAAAGGACTAATTTACGTAACAACTTTCAAACAATTTGAATTGTGAGACCCAAATGCAATTAAATTTTTGGGATTCCCAATCGCCTGCCATAGAAAGTCAAATTTGAGGCAAAAGAAAAAAGAGTGTCTTGCATTTTATATATTAGAATTGATAGCTTGTAAATTGCACAACTTTTAAGTGGTTAAGCCGTTTATTTTCAGAAATTGATGACTTGATGTTGCCAAGCTTCTCAAAAAGTAAACTATTAAACCGACTGTGTGATAGTCTATGGAATGTTTGAAAAGGAATTTCATATGACGTACCAAGGAATTGCTAGTCTGCGTGAGAATCAGAGTCCAGAATAACTATTTGATAATAATTGCAACATTTTCGCGCTGAATAAGGTCATTCTGTCATTCATGGTCGATCATGTTTAAAAAAACAGCTGGTAGTAAAAATCGAAGGACACGATGTCAATGACTTTACGGCGCTATCGTGCTATTGTGAATTATCTTACAAATATCAATGCAATATTGGTAGTGCATTGTTCTTTTAATACATAAAATGTTTTACAGATCAATGCCCATTAATACAAACAAAGACTCTTCGAACGATTTAAGTGGTAGTCTAACAGAAGATTTAAATCACATCAGCAAAACGTCTTCGACAAAAGCTATGCCAGCTCGACTTATTGTTGGAGGTATTTACTTTTAATAGAATTGTCAATGTCATAGCAGCCGGGCGCAGTCCAATATCGTACGACGATATGTATCACACGTTATTTTGGTATATACTTCACCAGTATATAACGTATATTTTCAATATACTTTACCAATATATACTATTCTTTGGTAACTTTGAACAATTTATGTATTTTGGTAATTGGTATACTTGACTACATTAAATTGGTATACAGTACCTGACCAGCCTACAACGTATTTAAGTATACTTGACAAGTGTATATATATTATATTAACCCATTAAGCGCCAGCGCTCTCCCCTTGACGAGTAAAATCGTCTGGTGTTAGACAGAGTAAAATACTAAAGTAGGGTGCATCAGGGTGCAATGCGACTCAATGGGTTAACTAGACACATGGGCAGATAGGCCAGTTAACCCATTAAGCGCCAGCGCTCTCCCCGTGACAAGTAAAATCGTCTGGCGTTAGGCAGAGTAAAATACTCTGGCGTTAGACAGATTAAAATACTAAAGTAGGGTGCATCAGGGTGCAATGCGACTCAATGGGTTAATACTGTATATACTTGACCAGGTTATATTGTATTTTAGTATGCTTAAATTAGGCATACATGTATGCCAAAATACAGTATATACTTGTCAAGTATCAATTATACTGTACTGTTTGTGTATACATAAATGGTACTAGTTGACAAATGTGTACTGCATGACTGTATTTGAGTATATACATGATCAATGTACCATGTGTATACTGTAGATTCAAATACAGTATTGTAACACTTGTCATCAGAGGAATACAGTACACTCACTGAAGTACTAGTTATACCTAAAATCTTAACTACATTGTATATTGATCATATATATACTAAAATACAGTACACATTGGTCAACTAGTACCACATGCATATATAAAATTATGTGTATACTATATACAGGTGCATCTCAAAAAATTAGAATATAATTATCTGGCCATTTAAACTAGTCTGTGTACATGTTTGTATTGTGGTATACAGGGCTGTCTCGAAGAGGCTAAAGCAGGGGGGAGGGGGGTGTAGTATTACATTTACGGACAAGATTTCAGTCGCTAATTAATATTTCTTTTCCCAAATTGACATTACATTTTTCCAGTTAACGGCCATAATTCATTACATTTTTTGTAAATTTATCAGATTTTTTGCTATAACTATTACTTTTTAATCAGTGCCACTCACATATTTTTGCTGACAACGAGAACAATTTTGCCGACAAGATATTTTCAAGGGGTGTCAACACCCCCCTCCTAGTGACGGCCCTGGTAGTATATGATGTTAACCCATTAAGCTGCAGAGCTTCCCCATTGATGAGTATAATCACCTGGCGTTAAAACGCCCTACCTATCTTTTTTACTTGTCTCGGAGGCATTGCGGCTCAATGGGTTAAGACAAAAAAATTACAAATATTTTATTTTTACATGCAATGATTTGCTGAACATAACTATGGCTGCATGGGCTTCGAACCTGCGACCTTCAAAATGCTAGCTTGATGCTCTACCAACTGAGCTTGACTTGAAATTGTGAATTATACACTGAATATCATTTATATCATTTCAGTGCAATGTTGTGATTACTGGTCACTAGATAACATGATGAAATTTTCTCGAATGAATGAAACATCTTTTTTTTTCTTTTCTCTTTTTTCAATTAAACTCAAACATCTTTCTTGCTTTTTTGCACATGCACCCAAAGCATCTGCTGACCATGCATACAGAGCCCTTACTTACACTGACACATCTCCCCCTCCCCCCACTGACTGCGGTTCTCTAACCTCATTCCACTTCGGTCAATAAACAAAATAGCAAATAATTAAGTCTCTGATTTGCTTCATGCAATACGTTTGTTTGTTGGCTGGAACTCATCGACTTGTTTTTGTCATCACTTGTCTCGTTTTTGACACTTCTCTCCAGTGGACTGGCATCTGTATCATTGTTGACTTTCTTCCCTGTCTAGTTACCTTTATCTCAGCTCCTCTAACGATATACGTCTTTTCCTGGAATTACCCATTTAATCTTCTGGGGCCGGTTGTATAAAAAAGTGATTAAAGTTAATCATAGTTAAGTGGAAATGTCCTCCAATAAGAAGCGCCTATTTGAGAGTTAATCACTATTTAACTACAAAATAGTGATTAAAAAAGTGATTAAGAGTTTTATACAACCGGCCCCTGCAATCTCCACATACATCTTGGCGCATTCATCGACATACACATGCATGACATCATCTCCTTTCACCTCTGGTTTCCTCTGGTTTGGAATCTTAAATCTTTATTCACCAGACGACGTTGACGATGCTGCGCACGTAAACTTAAAAGATATTCGCGTCGCCATCTTCTCCACAGATGCATGCTCTGCCAACGTCCTCTGATATTTAATTGTATTTCCTTCGAGACAAAATTTAACACACTCTTTTCAATGAGAAGGTGTGCGGGCATCATGCTTCCGCTTCTGTGAGCAGAGCAGGGTGACTACTGTAATTCGCTGTTCCTAATTGCTTTTTCTGTGTCCTCTTTCCTTAGGATAGCCTTATCAATCTCTCGATGTAGTCACCCCACCGTGACGCTTTCGCCAGGTTAATTTTCCTCTCCGTATCCATGCATGTTCTTCTGGTGATTGAAACAACGATTCTAGATGTCCGCAAGCTGCTTTGAAGGACTTAGAATTGTCTGAGATCACTAGTCGAGGGACTCTCCGCCTGCTACTTTAGGACTTAGAACGCTTCGGCAGACATGCTTGGTGTTCGTTCAAATTGCTGCGCAGGTATATAGTGCGATGTACGCATTTGTCATCTCATCTACGCATTGCTCCTTTAGTTCCATTCAGGACGTACATTGCCATTGGCCAAGCGAAATCCACACGCACTCACATACACGAGCAAATAAAACTTGGCAAGGAAAATTTGAGTCAGATATTGGTATCCTGGTAATCCCCCTGGATAGGCCTTGAATAAATCTTGCAGCTGCGCTTTACCTGATTCGATAAACGTACTGCGTTTTGGCTAAGCCTTCTGCTTGTTTTCGTCTTTCCTAAGGCCTGCCGAACACGAGAGAAACTTGCTAAGCTAATCGCCTCGTGTGCAGTGGCGGCTAGCCCAGTATGCATTTTCACCACACTATGCACGTTGGGAAAACTACTCGACAGCAACATCGTTGATATGATCGTTTGCATTTCCCTCCATTTTCGCCATTTTTACCAACGTCACGTGAAGAAACTGTGGGTTCTCATTGGCTACACATGCTAAAATCTCACATCTTCTAAAAAGTTTGTCAACAAGCCGTCAACAAGTTGTCTTCGCACTGCTTGTCACAAGTTGTCAACATGTTTGGAACAAGCTGTTAACAATTTGTAACAACCTTGTTGATATTATCAGGCTTGTTACAGGTAGTTCCAACAAGTTCTAGTATGTAGATTATAATATGATATAGCAGTACTGTTAACGTTACAACCTTGTGTCGTCAACCAAGTTGTTAACAGCTTGTTCCAAACTTGTTATAACAACTGGGAACAAGCAGTGCGAAGACAACTTGTTGACTGCTTGTGAACAGATTTATAACAACTTGTTTGCAGACAATGAATGCAGACTTGTAACAACTTGTGCGTTTTTACGTGTGTACTTAATTCAAGCACTAAGCTAGCAACATCCGTAGACGGTGAGATTTTTCCCCGCGAGGTGAAAAATATCAAACACGATAGATATTTCAAAGCCTCGAGAGGTTAAATCGTCACGAAAATTATCCGCACATGAGAGAAACATGCCTCACTAGCCGCGAGACGGTAAGCTCAGCATGTTTCTCTAATGTGCGGCAGGCTTCACGTTTTACGTCAGATTAATCTGTCTAATTTCTTGCTTGTAGTTATAGCAGGTCGTAACCTGATCAGTATGGACGTTGGAGGCAAGTCAGATCCTTACTGTATTATCAGTGTCGGTGAGGAAGAAGCCAAGACTCTCGTACAATATAATACTGTCGACCCTCAGTGGAATGCAAGTTTTAGTTTCTCCTTGTATAATGGACCACATTTCAAATCTAGTGGTAAGTGCATGATCACAAAATAGCAGAGGCGTACGAGACAGGAATGAGGTGGGAGAAAACCATGGAAACTTGGGGAAACGCTAGGGGAAATTAATGAAGAAAATTGCAGACAAATACTGTATGTCACAAATATGTTAAATTCAGGTCTCATTCATTTCATTCACCAGGAAGTTCTGGTTAAATTATCCAAGCTATAGGATACGATAACCAGAAAAATTAACCAGGAATATTAAGTTAACACAAGGATAGGTATAGGTTCTAGGTTAGGGAGCGACCATTATTTATGGCGGGGGTAATAAAATCTGTTGTCATTCCCAAAGCATGACTCACTCAAATATTGAAGACTACAAAGCAATGTCAACAGTCATATCTCAATACAATATGTATATTAATCAGAGTCACTATCTCGATCATTTTCCAACTTGTCAGGAGGCAAATGGTGTCTTCAAAGAAAGTACATGTGCAGGCAACATGAAACGTTTGACTGCAGAAAATTGCACAAACAGTTAATATCAAACTCATGTCACAGAAGTAGTAAAGGACATGTGTGACAACTGAATGGTATCCTTTTGTAAAGTTTTTGACCAGGGGTGGGTATTTATTTTTTAATTGATATTTGAGGTTGGGTAAAAAAAGATTTTGACTTTTTAATAGTTGGATTATTCAGCAAATTAACCAGGAAATTTTAACCAGAGTGTTTTTAACATGAAGTTTTGAAAGTCCAATAATGAGCATAATAATATACAGGGTGTCTAGAAAAAAAGGTAATCGAATTTCAGCGCGCTATTGCATCTGAATTACTCTGCGTAGCGAGCGAGATTTTTTCATATTCGGAAAGATCAGGCTTTTAGCTGTTGAATGATACGTTCTTCATGCGAAATGGATGACAAAAAATGACCGATAAAAAATGTTGGTCAGAATCGCATATTTTCACCGTTGAGAGTTGGGTCTATAGAACCATTGAAAATTAACCCCCTTTAGGACTTAGTTCATGAATTTCACTTCATTAAACTACGCACATGTTCATAATTTTTATCAATGAGGAATAAATCTTAGCTATAGCCTGTGACAAGTTGGTGATTAATTGTTTTTTCTTTTGTTATGCACCGCTTTAATTAGGCACAGAGGTGAAAATATGCGATTCTGACTAACATTTTTTAACACTTGCTTATTTTTCACCACTTGGCATGAAAAACATGTCATTCAATAGCTGAAAGCTTAAGCCTGATCTTTCCGAATATGAAAAACATTTGTTCATACGACGAGTAATTCACGTACTGTAGTCTGTACAATAACGCGCTGAAGTTCGATTTACCTTTTTTCTTATACACCCTGTATATCCCTATATAACACAGGGTTCGTAGCGGTCTTTGAAATCCTTGAAAGTCTTTAAATTTGAATGCAGGTCTTTAAGGTCTTTAAAAAGTCTTTGAATTGTGTGAAAAAGCGAAGAAAGTCGTTAAAAGTCTTTAAATTCTTTAGTGAGTATTTGATTATACGATTTCCTAGCTAATAAAATAAATTGATTGACGCAAGATTTTTCAATATCGACGAAAAGGCGCATTTTAGGATGTGATTTGACGGGACTAATTACCGATTAAAAATGGTACTTACAGCCGATGGTGCTCGACAGCTGATTGCTCTCAAAGGTCTTTGAAAAGTCTTTGAAAATAGGCAGAAAAAATCTTTGAAAGTCTTTGAATTTGTTTGGTCTTGGAGACTACGAACCCTGTAACACTAGCTGGGATCACCCGAATAAAATTAGTTTATGTTATATTTAAAACACGAGCAGGAGTGCTTTATCAGATATAAAACACGAGAGGCAGCTCGAGTATTTTATATCTGATAAGTATGGACTGCGAATGTCTTAAATGGCTTAGAAAATGACCCATCTGATGAGTTCATTGGCGAAGTAATTTTAAAAATAAACGTTGTCTAAGCGGAGAAAAGCAAAGTTAAAGTTTATGTAAATGAACATGATTTTTTATCACATACAGGGTGAGTAAAAAAAACTGATACCTTCGCGGCTAATTTGAATAACAAAGGTGTCAGTTTTTTTTTACTCACCCTGTATAAAACCACCGACGCCGCAGAGATTTCCTTTCTCTTTTCTTCATGGATTTTTAATGAGTTTATTAAACGGCTTCAAACACGACTACAAATTCAATAGATATACTGCCTTATTAGCATTCTTAATTTATATAAAGAATACTAATGAGGACACGACTACAATAGATACTACCTTATTAGTATTCTTTATGTAAAGAATACTAATTAGGAGTGTTTTATCAGGTTTAAAGCCACTGCACGTGACATATTATGGTTGACATGATTCGTCAATAAGCTTATATGAATTATTAATGAGTGTTTGAAGTACTGTTTAATAAACGAGCAGGAGTGTTTTATTAGGTTTTAAAGCCACGAGCGCGCAGCGCGAGTGGCTTTAGACCTAATAAAACACGACCTGCGAGTTTATTAAACGGCTTCAAACACGACTACAAATTAGTCAATAGATATACTGCCTTATTAGTATTCTTTATATAAAGAATACTAGTGAGGACACGACTACAATAGATACTGCCTTATTATAGTATTCTTTATAATAATAAAGAATACTAATTAGGAGTGTTTTATCAGGTTTAAAGCCACTGCACGTGACATATTATGGTTGACATGATTTGCCAATAAGCTTATGAATTATGAATGAGTGTTTGAAATATCATATCATACCCATTTCCACAGGCAGTGACGGTGTTGAAGACAGTGACGCGGATCAATGCATTATCCATTACGTCGTCGTAGATATATGGGATAAAGATACATTAAATCGTGATGACTTCATGGGTCGTGTGATGGTACCAGTTTCATTACTTACTCACGAAAGTTTCTGTGGTTGGATCCCATTGGGAAGAACTTCCCCCCGGGATGCACAGTTCACTGGAGAGATTTATCTTGAACTACGCATTAAATCGCAACTGGTGAGATTATGTTACAAAATAATCATGTTTGCCGAAATTTCTGTAATCCTTTTTTCAGATCATAATTCACCTCAGGCAGCGGCGCTGTAGGCTTGATAAAATTCTTGGCTGTTTACATGATCCTGGTTTTCCGGCACGGGATGGAAGGTGGGATGATTTTAATGTATTGAAATATATCACTTGCATGGCTGAAACGAAACTTCAAACGCTGCTTATAAAAGAACTCAAATGTTGTAGAGAAGATGTCGTAGTTCAAGAAGATTGTTATTGCTGCTTGAACAACCTTTCGTTCGACTTTTCACTGGATAAATAATGTAGTTTTGTGGAATCGTACACTGTGACTTATTTCAATACGTCAAAATCATTCCGCCTCTCGTCTCAGTAAAGCGATATCACGTAGACAACCCCTTACAGGGGGGGGGGGCAATTCCACAAGGCGCCTACATGGGCAATTCCACAAGGCGTCACAAGTCTCTAGATCGTCACAAATGGCATTTTCAGAGTCTTCTCCACGTCTTTTGTTTGGCCCTTCCATTAATTCTTTAATTGAATGTGAGTCTATGTTATCCGTGAGTCAGGATGGATTATTATTATTACTGTTATAATTTTAACGGCAATTTAAGGTGGCTCGATATAGTTATTACAAAAACCCTGCTCAAGAATCGCGAACTCAAAACCGGGTGACCATTTTTACGCGCAGGTCGCGGAAACTGATTAACAAAATGAAAGAACTTCCAAAATGACCTGACATGAGCAGTTGCTCGCGCCATATCACGCCATTGCGCGTGTTCTCTAGCGTTTTATGTCAATTGCTGACGACATTAGAATTTTCCATTTTAGAAAAACAATGCGCTATATCTCTTTATTTTGTCTGCTGACCTACTGTATGTTCAAATTTCGCATGCTGTATTGCACCGCTAAAAACTTTCATTATACAACTTTTATATTTTGCTAATTGTTAGCTTTTCGTCCAAGTAAAATAATGCACAAAAAAAATTGGGGGTGACCATGCTTCTTTTCCAACTATACGTCTCGATAGGCCATTTTGGAGTGAATTTCGTACGCGTATGTCGTCATAGTAACGGACTGTCTGTTATTAAAACTAAATTAAATATAATTTGAAAGTAGAGATACCAAAATATATAAAAAACCCAATAGCTGCTGAATAAATCCTAAAAATGCGTAGTTTGAACATGTCAAAGTGTTGAACACCTGTACTGAAAACTGTATCGAACCACCTAACAGATGGTACCACATTCCATGATATTACTTAATATAATATAATATAAGTACGCAATATGTTGAGGCTTTCTTCGTGTTTGGCGGAAGTGTTTAGTAGAAAAAATTGCTCGTCTGTAACCGAAACGAAATTACGAAACAGGAAGCCTTTTTGTTTTTGTCCGGAGGTGAACAGTGAAAGGATATCCGGAGATGAGCAACCAATCAAATTGCGAAAAAACAACGTCCCCAATATATGCTAATGTCTGCTAGCCATTCGTGTTTTGTGTTTGCCAGACGTCAGTACTATCTTGAATATCTTTTTTTTTCAAGATTGTATAATTATGCAGTAGGACTTGCAATGAATTTCTTTTCTGAAATCGCCACAGTAGATTTTGCTTCCGATTACATGTTATTGTACATTTTATGTTTTGTTCAAAAAATATTGTGTGAATCTTTCTTCACGTTAATGCGTCTTTGGTTATAATTATTCCAAGCATCATATAACATTTCTTCGCCTGCATGATATTTATATAATAGTTGTAATAATTAAAATAGAGTAAAACCCTGAATCATTTTTGGTTCTGGAAGGTAAGGTATACGTTTTCGTTTCAGCCCATTACGAGGTGGAATGCCGACGATCAGTTGTATAATTATTGTGATGAACTTACAGATTTTAACCTTCCAATCCAGGGCAAATCCGCTGTTCTCAGTTTTCCAGGTTTGTATTTTGTCCATAATTTTCAGTCAGCCATTAGTAAAAATGCACGGTGGTTTCACCTTTACGTCAACTGTTTAGATATTAAGCCATTTTTACACTGCAACACACCTATAGGACTGCCTCGTAATTTAGCTTATATCATGCTGATTGGCTCACTAAACTATTCTGCCAATCTCAAGCCAATCAGTGAAGCCAAAACTTGTCCAAGGTCTCCAGGCCTAAGCTTGTAGTGTAAACGCGGCCACACTAAACGATTTATTTTTAAAGTGCCACTAAGCCCAAATATGATTTTTGATATGTGTAATATTGGGGTACACATGGGTGAACACATCTAAAGTTTCCGGATATGATGTCATTAAATGAATTTTTAGAGCGAAAACAAAGGAAAACTAATTTACAATCATCGAATGACATCATATCCGGAAACTTTGACAGTGAAAAGCTTGGTCAAGATGTGGGTTTTTACTATAAAGATTTATTACATGTTTTCTTAGAATTATCCAAATATTGCACATACAAATATATAATAATAATAGTTTTGTGTTATTATTAATGACCAAGAATGAAGCTTAACAATTTTTATTAAAAACGACGTTTTGGAGTTTACTCCATCATCAGATTAAAAGACTACAATATATTGTCTAAACAGTTTGCGACCATGTTCCGACCGTTACTCGCTTGCGTACAAGGTTGCGCAAGCATATGAAATGATATGATAGCGGATATGTTAACAAAGTGAAAACTGCTAGGAACAACTTGGCACCAACTCCATCATCGAACCCCTATACCTACATTTATACCATCCCATATTTTTCGAGCCCCTTATAAGTATGTTAAGCATGATAAATTGTTTGTCATCACTAGTTATTCATACAACTAATTTAACTGTTGTACTTATGTCAGACTAAAGGAATACCGAATGATTTTCCTTGCAGGATTGCGTGATCCATGCACGAGGGATGTCGCGAGACTTTCGGAAAGCGTAAAAATACTCGAGCCGCAGGCGAGTGGCATTTTAATTCCTCGTGCAGGATAGCCTGATCCTGCACGGCTATCAATCAATCAATCAATCAATCAATCAATACAAATTTATTTAAACACGGTAAAATCTTCAGTACATGGATAATCTAACTATTATAAGCGTAATAAGACAGTTTTAAGTTACATACACACATCAATTATAAAAAAATCTAAAAATTATCTACTACTGGTTTACAAGATTGCCGTGTGGGAGTTCACTTGAATTATTATAATACTTATATACAGCTTTCTTAAATTGTGGAAATGTTTGAAGCTTTCGTATATCTTGAGGAAGACTGTTCCACAAGTAGGCACCACTATAACAAAAGCTTCGCTTTAAGTAATTTGTTCGTGACTTGGGCAAATTTAATCTCGTCTCAGAATTTCTTAAATTGTACCCTGTGTCACGAACTGAAAAAAGTCTTGATCTGTAGATATGACGGTATATTCCCTTTGAGAGTCTTAAAGATCAGGCCAGCCT